GAGTACTAAATGAATGCCGTATATAATATATATCATGTTCTTTTTTTCTTTCTTTCTCATGACAGGATCTACAAAGCACTGGGTTGCCCTCACGGCTGTGGCGACGGTGTGATGGGTTCTCAAGGAGATCACCTACGGCTCAAGGGACAGAACTGCCTGCAGCGGCTTCACCGCATCAACCCGGCCATGTTCCACAAGTTCCTCAAGGACACGGTCAAGAAGCGCCCCCTCCAGGAGACGGTGGATTTCCTGCATGCTTTTCTCGGGTTTTGTTTTGACCCTACCTCTTTGGTGCAGTCCCCGATGTGTAAGAAACAGAACTCTTACTGTTTTTTTTTTAATTTTAAGACTTTCAAGTCTAAAAATAATGATAATAATGATAATGATCATAATAATGATGATAATAATAAGAAGAATAAGAATAAGAATAAGAATAAGAATAAAACTATTAATAATAATTAAAACAATAACACGTGAATCCATATTTTCCCTTCCAGCGGATACTGTACCGGTCACCGTGAGTCCGTTTGAATACTTGGAGAAACTCAAGGACTGTTGTATGCTGGATGTGTCTGTGTGGGCCTCAGTGAGGGAGACCAACCAATGCTTCGTCATCAAGGACGACTGCCGGCTGCGGAAGCCACATCTCAATGTCAAGGTGAGCTGCAGTGTTTTTTAAATAGCTATTTAATTTATCTAATTTACGAAGAATGACTGCAGTTTTATAAATAGCGATTGATGTAACTTACGAGCAGTACGAACGGTAGTAGAGAATATTTACCGTAGTTATAGCGGAGAGTAGAAGTATGCGGTTTGAAGTCATAGGTCAGGAGTCAGAAGTAGGGGTGTAAGTATTTGCGGTTACATCAATGTCTGCAAATAGGCATTATCATGTGTGTCTTGTTTATTTTGTATACATCTATTGTCACGATGATGATGATGATGATGATGATGATGATGATGATGATGATGATGATGATGATGATGATGATGATGATGATGATTACTGCTTACTGATCCCATAATCCACGAGGATCGTAAGGGCGGTGTGTGATAAAGAGCCTCGTCAGGTGGCTCGACTTTTCACGGCTTTTTGCGAGTGCGTGAGTTTGGGCGAAGGATTTCCCTGTCCACTCCGCAATGTTGTCAGTTCAAATCTTTCTTTGCCTTCCTCTCCTTCTCCTCTCTTGTACAGTTCCCTGAAAAAATGGTCTTGGTTAGGCCGCCCGATCCTGTTACATGACCATACGAATTCGTTTTTCTTCGCTTCTCAGTTGACAGCAAGTTAGTCTAAATAGTGGTGCATGTGTTGTTTCACTATACTTCGCACTTCCTCATTTGTGATGTGGTCATTGTATGATATGTCAAAGAATTACTGATGATGATGATGATGATGATGGAGTGCCAATTCTGTCTCTTCCCCATATAGCGGATTTGCTCATGTGTTCTCCGTCTTTTCCTTCCTCAGGCACCACAAGAAGCCGTCAAGGGTAAAGAGTTCAAAGTGGAGGTATCCTTCATGAACCCTCTGGACACAACTCTTACGGAGTGCGAAGTCACTGTCGATGGTCTTGCCAGATCTCTTCGCTTCCCGCAAGGGTGAGTAAAAGTAATAATAGTAATAATAATAATAATAATAATAATAATAATAATAATAATAATAATAATAATAACAGCAGCAGCAGCAGCAGCAGCAGCAGCAGCAGCAGCAGCAGCAGCAGCAGCAGCAGCAGCAGTAGTAGACACTAGTTAATTGTTGGGCATTTTTAGGGATCAGTTCTCTGGCTGGAGAGTTAGCTGTAAAACATCTGTTATGACGGCGAGTACAAGTGACGACTAAAGACACGAAAAATATGTCAGATTATTGGATAGTATACAGTCTGGGTTATGTTCGAGGTTCTTTTCAGATTGGTTACGTCAAGGGGGGGTACATGTATCAAGGTCTTAAAAGGCTCGCTTGCGATATGGCATACCCAAAATGGGCAAAGTTGCAGTTTTGTTGTTGTTGCAATGTTTGACCCAATAGAAGAGGTATGTGCACGACCTGTTCTATTTTATGATGGAAACTATATCTAATAATGGAGTCTTTTATGTTATGTGGTGTGAAATGGGCCAGTGGCCATAAGCACTGAATAGACACTTACTTACTTGTTCTTATTGTAAAAAAGAAAAACAAAAAAACAAAAAAACAAAAACAAAAACAAAAAAACAAAAACAGAAACAAAAACAAACAAATCAACGACGATCTGTCCACTCCATAGGAGCGTGGGAGCTAAGAGCACGTTCGTGGCCTCCATCCCCATCACGCCAGCCAAGGTGGGCCAGAAGGAGATGATCTTTTGCTTCAGCTCCAAGCAGCTGGAGGACATCAATGCCTCCAAGAGGATCTTCGTGCGCGCCAGTAACATCTAAAACAGAAACACCAAAGAGCTCCACATCCTGGAGAGACTTCCGAATTCTGGATGGAGACAGATTCTACGGCCACATCTTCGCAACAACAACAACAACAACAAAAATCCCCAAAAGAAGTTAATTTGAGACCTAAAGTTAATTTTTTTCCCCAAATTAATGTCTGTATTTTCATGTAATTACATTGTCACAACTGACTTGGAGGGGCCTGAACATATTGGTGGCAGGGATCGATCAGGATATTGTAGCTTTCTGAGAGCATTTGAGCGAAGGAATAAAAGGAGAACCAGCTCCGTCAATGTCCATCACAAATCTGGTACTTGATGATGATGATGATGATGATGATGATGATGATGATGATGATGATGATGATGATGATGATGATGATGATGATTATGTATTGTCACAGATCCTTTAGATTTTTTACAAATATTGCTTACATTGCTACTGTCTTACGGATATTGTTGAATGCATTTTATAAGAAATCTTTGCCATTTCTTTTTGGATGCGATGAAATCTAGTGCCTTACTTTCTGGTGTAGGGCCGTGAAATAAACCTGTACAGCCCATGTCCATTCTTCATTTTACTTCCTATCACATATTACATTGTATCACTCCATTCTATTAATACTATTATGCATTTACAAAGTCGCTGTCAAATACGACTCTCTTTACAATAGCTAAGTGATACGCCATATTTACATCTAAAAACGGCATTATATCGGTAGCTGGTTTGTTCGAATGTTTGTTTTTTATGGGTTGTTTTTTTTCCCTTTGTTTCATAACGATAGAAATCCTATGCTGCAATATTGGGGCTTTTCCCATTTGAAAAAGTCATTGTGTTGAATAACTGCACGACTGCCTTTAATATCCGAGGGATGGGAGTGGGTGGATGAGGGGGTATGTACTCTGTGATGATTGTTTTGGGTATTTGAGATTTTGGGGTGGGAGTGGTGTAAGATAATAGATATTGCAGCGATACTCTTCATGCTGTTGGTCTTACAAAAATACTGAACTCTATGCTGAGATAATTTATGTGCCACCAAAAAAGTATGGTAAACAAACCATTTAGAATTTAGAGTAACTTAGAGAGAAAGTGTTCTAATAAACTTTACTTTGCTCTTTGCATTGAAAGCATGTATTCTCATACGCAGGTAGTTTGATTCTGTTTATTAAACAACATGGCCCATCAAAGTTTTACGAATGCATTTTATTCGAAGCGCAGTAGCAAATTTGAGCTGTGTGAACGATTTGCTGATTTTCTCTCTTTTTTTCGTTTCTTTTTGTTTTGTTCTCCGATTTGTTTGTTATTATTATTATTATTTTGGGGTGGGGGTGGGAGGGGGCTGGGGTGTTAAGGACACCTAGATGTGTGTATAAACTAATATATCCCATATATTATATACTGCAGGGTTGACCTTTTCATCTAGACAATTCTAGACACTGGGTTATAGTGGCCAGTTTGTTGTTCTTTTTCTTTCCTTTATTTTTTTCCCAAATGGAAAAGTGGTGATGTTTATGATGCACTCGTGCAGTGAACTTACACACAGACTAGCAAGCTACTCAGCTGACAACAAAGAAGACTGTTAGTTAATATCTTTGTACTCTGTCACTTCTTCTATACTTGTGGTTTATCGTTCTTTTTCAGTTTCTTTCAATATTAAAATTTTACTTATTTTCAATGTCTTTATTGATCATGGCCTCCTTTTACCCGTTTGAAGTAAGCGATATATGCATAAGAAGCAATGAATTGTTCTGGTAATTTTTCATTGTCTCGTCTGCTAATAAAGTCAATGTGTATTCTAAAAATCATTTTTTTGTTCTTTCTTTTTCCACCAGTACACAAGATGTGTGATTATTTGATTACGTGTGTGCGCGCGCGTGCGGAGTATTTTTTCTGTGTGTGTGTGTGTGTGTGTGTGTGTGTGTGTGTGTGTGTGTGTGTGTGTGTGTGTGTGTGTGTGTGTGTGTGTTTGTGTGTGTGCTTTCATGCTGACAAACAACTGAGAACCCCCCGGGGCGGTGCCACTGACTGTAGTGTCTTTAGCCATTCCCAAAGGGGGGGGGGGGGACATTTCTCGTTCAAGTATAGTAGAATTGTAAGTGGGCTGACTCATGTCACGCTCATAACTGTGCCTGATCTACAACAGGGAACCGCTGCTTTTTCTTTCCTGATCCTTACTATTGTCATTTTCCTCTACTTCTTTTGTATGTTTGTCACTTTCTTGTGACCTGCTATTTCCGGGGTGCCTTGATAGTCGAAGCAGACCTTGTGCTGTTGAAGCTAGAGAGGTGAGCAGTCTAAGTCTGATTCCCTGTAAAGACTTCTCTGTTGACACCCACCCCTTGGCGCTCATATGACCATATGCGGTTGCGAGCGCCGTAAAACCCTCTACTATTTAAAAAAAACCCTGAGACAATTGAGGTCATTTGGCTACATGATAATTATATCAAATGGACTTGGCGTCAGTGGCCTAGTGGATAGGCTATCGGACTCATAATCATGAGATTGCGGGTTCGGAAGTTCGAGCCTCAGCTCGGCCCGATGTTGTGTCCTTGGGAAAGGCACTTTACACGAATTTCTCACTTCGCTCGGTCCTTTCGGAGATGGACGTTAAAGACGGAGGCCCTGTTTCTTAAATAACCTAATAGTGATGATGGGGGCGCCAAACCAATACTATTTAATTTCAAATGGACAAGAAAAACTGCTGCTGTGTGGAGAGATAGAGGGAATCAAGAACAGAGGAAGACAGAGAACATTTTCCATTGGGTTCGTTTTAATTTTAAATTTAATAAAACTACTGGAATTTGCAAATACACGTATTTGGATGACTAGATATATTTTCTTTAGCTTCATGGGTTCGGAACAGATTGGGCTTCTCGTGTTACTTTTTCTTATGTTACTTACTCGCCCTACCTTCTCAATTACTTTAAATTTATTCCCTTTACCTTGAGTTTTATGTTCTTTGTTAGAATAAAGAGAAGCACATCGACACAGTAATGGTCATTTAGTTCTGGGAGAAAGAAATTCAGACAGAAACAACAGAGGGAAAGTAAAGAAGTAGGACTTACCAGCAATGGCGCCCTCCAACCACCCGCCTTTATATTCTTTACTTCATTTACGTAACGCAATTTTAGTTACTTTGCTACCCTAGAATTGCAAAGTTCTCTCTGCTCAGTGCTTAGTTTTGAGAAATCTGACGTCAAAGATTTTAAGTTTCACGTCATGCCAAGCTTTTTCGAATGCGATTCTTTGAATATTCTGACAATGAATCCGAATAATCTTAAGATTTTGATGAAGCAGATAGAACATTTGGTTTCTTAACTCAAGATCTTAGTTACTCAAAACAGCCCAAAGCGTCAGACAGAACTTTGTAATTCTGAGGTAACGACTTGTCTTTGAGCAACGTAAAGGTGATCGGGATCTTAAAGCTGTGGGATCTTAGGCAAAGATTATTGATTAGTTAAATATCGTGATCAAAAAGAAGAAGAAGAAGAAGAAGAAGAAGAAGAAGAAGAAGAAGAAGAAGAAGAAGAAGAAGAAGAAGAAGAAGAAGA